CCAATCCATGACGATTCGACCCTTATGACATGGTGCATTATCCTGTTGGTAAACACCATCCCCCGCAGGAAAAACTGTTGCCATGAATGGGTGAACCTGGTCTGCAACTATGTTCAAGTAGCTTACAGACGTCAGGGATTGTTCTATGAGGATTATGGGTCCTAATGTGCCCCATGAAAACATTGTTCCTGAGCGAGAAATCATGAAAACCTGGGTGAGCCCACTGTTATAAATGGAGGGTTTGTCATAGTGTAATGGCTCTTCGTTGTACATATAATAGGTGATTTTCAATGTATAACAATGCAAGATGGGTGTTTTATAAAAAGCATATTTTTTCATTTCTCTTAATTTTTCATGAAGAGTTTTAAGTAAGAAAGTACACAGCGTTTATTAAATTGACATTTCAATTAATTTTGTTCTAGAATGTTACTTCAACATTATATATTTTTGCTAACATCTCATCATTAGATCTGTCCACCTTGAAAGATGTGATGGGTTTTGCTGTCGCCATGACACTGTCTCTTCTGAATTCACCACTGGTAAGATATAAAGACAGAACTGTGAAGTGGAAAAAATCGAAATTTTCGAATGCAACAGCATACTTTTCTGAAAGCTCAACTCCGCTTTAAACTTATTTAAATTTTCATAAATGAAAAATAAATTTAAAAAAAAAAAATGTTTCCTGAACAAACTAAAATTGTGAGAATCTATAAAAAAAAAAAGAAGAATTTTTTTTTTTTCTTCTGAATTTTAAATTTTTTCTACGTATACTCATGCAGATTTAAACATCTTAGAACCATATGATTGTTTAGTGATTATTTATGAACTAGGACAATGGTTCCCAAATGATTCCGTGAAAGGGTCATACTGGTTCTGACAGTAAGAACATTTTTTTGAAAACATTAATGATTTTTTAAACATTTAATTGTACTTATATTCAACCAATAATTCAAAATTTACTTATATTTGAGTACTACTTTACATTACTTTATATTTGAGTTTTTTTTTATGAAATTAAATGACAAAATAAATAATTATCAATTTTTTTCTTTCTTATTAAAAAATTTTAGTATTCTAAGAATGTCCATTTATGTATAAAAAAAACTCCATTAGCATTTCTCATCGAGCTTTTCAGTATATAAAATAATCTATATTAATATTAATTATATCTTTCTAATAATTGCTTTCTAACATTAATAAGCAGTTTTTTTTTTCGAAAACTAAAGTTTAGTTCATTTTTCTCATTTTCAGCTTATGCATACAACAACGAATTCAGATATTGCTCATTTATCTAAAATAAAACTTAATTTTTAATTCATAAAACAATGATAAAAATCAGCTTTTACACATAATATTTTTTAAATAATTAGTAATCTTTTTCTGGTAAGTAAATTTGCAATTGCTAAAAGAAATTTAATTTCTAAATTTAAGGCTCCGCCAAAAGAGACTCGATAATGTAGGGTTCCCTAACCGGAAAAAAATTGAGAACCGCTGAACTAGGAAACTGTTACAAAGGAAACTTTATATTAATTTACTGTCCCGCAGTGGACTGATCGTTAAGACACGGTTCCCAGCAGATCACCGAAGTCAAGCATCACTGGCTGCGGTCAGTGTGCGAGTGGGTGACCACTTGGATCAGTCTGCGTAGGGACCGAGGGTGTGCGGTATTGGTCCTCGTTAAACTGTGCTACCGTAAAGTGCTCGACTTCGCGCGCTGGTCGTCGGGCTACCGAAGCGGGGGTGCCATCCCCTCCGCAGTCTTCATGGCATGTCTTCGGATCATCTTCAGGGATGTTTCCCAGACCGTCGCCAATAGCCCATTGTGCAGTTCTAGTGCGACGTAAATTAACAACAACAACAATATTAATTTACTAATTTATTTTATTAAATTTTAAAATAAAAAAATCAATCAAATCAATAATTCAGTAAATCAATCATGAGCTCAAAGACGTTCAACTGCCATAAATTTAACTGGAGGTAAGTTATAATTTAAATGATTACCCTGCTATTAATTTAAGTATAAGTTTCGTTCACATAAAAACAAATACTTCTCTAAATATTTTTCATGAGATCAAAAATCTCTTTTTTCCCCCCTTCTAAGGATCTGACAACTTTTAACTATCTATAGTCAAATAAATGTTTTCGCACAGTCGGGGTACACTGTTAGAATTTTCATTCTAAAATTTCGGTAATATAACCGGCAGCAATGTGTCCATCCAATTAAGCGTAAAGTTTACGGTGAAGAACATTTTTTACCTTTACGCTTTCGAAACCGCTTACAACTAAAAGGGTTAAAAAACCATGAATACAAAACTGTGCACTTTTTTAACCATTTCCAACTATCTCGGTTTCAAAATCGTAAAAAAAAGAAATTTTACTGGACATTGTAGCTAGGCTTTTCGTTAGGTAATGGGCATTGGAGTTTGGTTGTAGTTGTGTTCTATCAAATGAACCGAATAATGGGGTTTAGTTAGTTTATCTGGTTGTTTCACTTATCGTAAGAAATGGAAAAATATTAGAATTATTTGCAACTTTACGGTGCTGCCATCTATGCTTGAATGAGAGTATTGTATTCTAATAGTCCAGGGCCACAAATTGGGAAGTGCAGGACACTCTTCACGCGTTGAAGGGAATGGAGGATCTATTGTGGTTGTCAACGGTGACTCGAACCCCGTTCTGTCGGTCATGAAATTGATAGATTAGCCCTCTCGGCCATATCATGTGTCCAGCTGCAACGAACTAAGTGGTTTGATTTAGTGAACATAGTTAGTGCGATAAAATTCTGGTTGCTTAACTGTATTATGAGAAAACAGTTAACAAACGGTTTTTCTCAGTTAACACTTTAAATACCATCATATTTATGGTTTTTTTACTGTTTTGTTTGGATATGGTAAAATAACAATTAAATAAATTGTTATTTTACAATTTTTTCGAGACATTTCTAACAAAGTTTAATATAACTTAAGTGTAGGACATAATAGGATTTTTTTCAATGTATAATAGAACATATTTGAGCTAAAACGATATTGTTGCTAACTAAATATTTCTATACTTATGGGATTTTATTGACAGAATTTTTGAAAAAGTTAATATCAGCTAAAGTTAAGTAGAGTGAAGAGTCAAGTAGGTATCTGACGAAATTCTTCTCGATAAGCAGAATATGATCGAACTTTTATCTTTTCGCGAAACATCTGTTACAAACTTTTGACGTTAACACAGTTACGAAACTATTCAGCTCAATAATGATAAATGAATAAATACATTGCGTAACATTGTTTAATTGATATTGCTTAACTAGCCTTGTACATTTCTATTGAAACAATAGGTTTATGATGTATCGCATTAATTTTTGAGTTTGTGAATTAAAGTATTCCAATAGTCTGCGAATTACCAATTCTAAAAGACTTTCGATGAATAATTACATTGATTCATTAATGTAAATAACTAATCTCTTAAACTAGGGGTCATTCAAATATTACGCAAGAACGTATACAGAAGAGAAGATTTGTTTATTAATATTCTTGCACACTTTTATTATGATGAGCACTCACTTCCGAATGCGATATTTGTAATAAAGCATTTTTAATTATGTTAAATAGAATTAGCGTACTGAATTGTGAAATTATCAAATAAAGTTACATATAGAGAAATGTTTAGGAATCAGAACATTGTAAATTTGCACAAAAATATGTACCAACTTAGTATAACACTATAAATGAAGACCTTATTAAGACCGATCTTATTAAGATTGACCTTATTAAGACAAAAATAAAATAAGTAAATATATAAATAATGAAGTAAAATAAAAATCGAAATTGAGGTGTAGTAGTTGATTTTCGATAAAATAAAATGGATTATGTGTGTCTTGTGTTTTTTTACTTCACCACACTCAGATTAAAAGCGAGAAATTTTTACTACTACTTTTTTTTATTTCTCTAATATAAGAATAATAGCAATTAATACATAAATAAATAACATAAGTCAAAAAAGTGAGAGGTAAAAATAAATAATGAATCCCTCAAATTATTTAGTCATTAGGATTTTTTGTATTTTGAGCGAACTAATTTTTCAATATATATTAATGAAATATATATTGAAAAATTAGTTCGCTTGATATTATTTTTAAAAAAGTATTTATGAAAAATATAATGTTAGCGATTTTCTTTTTCCTTTTTGCTTTCCTTGCAAATTTTTCGGAAGAGAAAAAGAAAAAAATTGTAATTTTTCTTCAATTACTTTTTTTTTCAATACATTATTTTGAAATATTACGTTTATTAAATTGTCCTATTTAAGAAACTATTTGATCTTTTTTTAAGCGTTGTATTTTATCATTTAAAATTCGTATTTTGGTATTTAAGTTATGGAATTAAAAAAAACGTTTCATAGTATACAAAATCACAGAAAATAATAAATAAATAAATGCTCAAAAAGGAAGGAAGTTTATTCCAAAAGGGCATTTTTGTGTCGAATTTTGAAACCAATAGATAATTAGACATAATTATTTAATGTAGATAAAGTCTACCCAATAACTTGCATATTTTTTTTAATTTATTTTTTTTTACTTATTAAAATTTTTTCCATTGTGTGTTTTAAGCACAGTTAAAAATTATTTTAATTTATTTTTATAATTTCAATTGATTAGAATATATGAATGAAATAAATGTAATATTATTGATAAAAATTTTAATTGATTTTAAATTCTCAATTCGAATAAAAATAATAGTTTCATTTACGCTATTAAAGCTGTTGACAAAGTTTTTAATTTATTTAAACACAATTTAAAATGATAGTAGTTAAATTCCTATCACTATGCAGCCTCGAACAAGGGTCATGACATTCGCCAAAATTAAGTAAGATATGAATAAGGAGACGCATTGTATTGCCTAACTTTATCGTAAACATGAAGATTTAATCAAAATAAATGCTCGAAAAACCAGGGTGGTAGCACTGAAGTTTCCCAACGAGGTGGTAAACAACTGTACCTTATCATTGAAAATGCTATGTTCGAAATGATTCTATGGGGGAAGGGGGAATCTAGAATACCAAGTTCGATTTGTTCTGGAATTTTTTATCAACATAACTTTCATGAAAAAATAAATAACTACGTGCGTTGTTCACGTGAATTGTGGCGAATAAATAGGAGCTGCATTTACCAAAAATGTATATTCGAAATTAATTCGTCTAATAGCTTGTGACTATATTTTCTGTCTACTATATTTTCTGTCTACTATATCTTCTGCCTTCTAGATCATCATATACTGTGAGTAATAATATTCCATTGATTAAAGATAGAATTATTAATTTTTATTGCATTTTAAACCGTCATTTTTCGTTAGAATTTCTTTTCCGCCGGCATTAAAGAGTAATGATAATTCAAAACTGAAACTATAGTATAAAAACCATATTTAGAGAACTTAAGATAAAAAACCGCTTTCACAGCTATCGTGAGTCTGTTATCTTTTCGTTGAGAGAGTTTGGCCACCTAAGCTGAAGCTCTGAGTTATCAATTCGATTTTATACTACGCGTCACAAGCAACGCCCATTCTTAAGAGATAAAATCAGCTTTTTCATTGATAGAGTTTGGCCACCTTTTACACTGCTTAGAATATCGTTTATTTTTATCAATTACGAATTCCTTGAAAGTTTCTATTCATGCTTTACTTTTTAATCTTTTTTTTAATGATTTCTTTTAGCTAATGCACTGCTTTATTTTAAAGAGGGAATTAAAATATAAACTTTTATATTGTTAGCACCACTAAGTGTATCATTTTTTTTATCAATTACGATATATTTTTATTTTGTCCATAATTCTAAAAAATCGTTTTCATTTTTGTAAATTCAATTCTTTGAAATTTAAATTCCATGCCTTAATATTTTAAAGTATCTATCGTTTAATGGTTTCATAAGCTAATAAATCGCTTTATTTTAACACAAAAATATAAAAAGATTTAAAATATATATTTCTTTATTATCAAAATTGCTAGAATGGTGTTTATTTTTTAATCAATTAATTATTTCTTGAAAATTACACTTCATAATTAAATTTTTCCTTTAATGATTTGTTTAGCTAATGCATCGCTTTATTTTGAAACAAAAATAAAAGTGAACTAAAAGATATGTTTTTATATTGTCAATAATACTACAATATTTTTTATTTTTTGATCAATAATGTATTCTTTGAAAATTCGATTTCATATTTTAATTTTTTAATCTTCCTTATAACGACATATTATACTTAGTTAATGCTACGCTTTATTTTAAAAAAGAAATCATTATACTACAATATTGTTTATTTTTTGATCAATAATGTATTCTTTGAAAATTCGATTTCAAAAAAGTTAAGAAAAACTTTTGGTTCTGCGAATAAAAACGGCCTGAATGTATATTTTCTTTTGTGCATACAGGGTGTTTTATAATGACCGCCCATAATGCATAGTTTTAGAATTATTGTAAAAATATAGACAAATAATATGCACAATGGAGGTCACAAACTAATATTTATGAGAGGAAAAACAAAACGCTATCAAATCACTAGTGAGGAAGACGGGATGAAAGTTAGTTTGAATTTGGGAACTTGGATGTGTTTTAAAAAATTACCTTTCAACCCCTTATTGTTTCTTCTGGCAATCAAGCAGGTTTTACCGTTTTCAGTTCATCAGATAGCATTTTCCCCTCTCTTAAATATTAATTTGAGACCTATAATGTGAATATTTTTTAACTTTAATTTCTGAAAGGAAACCTAAAAATACATAATAGCCGTTTGCATCAGTTTTTAAATAACAAAGTAAATTTAACAATAACTATATATGTTCTTTTGAAGAAAAATCACACGCGGATTTTACTATCACTTTAAATTGAAGTAAAAAATATTATTTAAGACTGAGATGTAAGGCTTAAAATAATAAATTTATGACAACTATTGTAAGCATGGATTCAATATAGACGATTTTTTTAAGCATGTAAGCTGATAATAGAACTGCAAAATCGCTCGAACTTTTCCTATTTCGTTCCTCAAGCGATTATTTCTATAATTTATAGTTTGCAATTCGTATTCGTGTCGATCAATTTTATTTACTAATAGAGTATTCGTCTCATTTACTGTCATTTAATTATTTTACACTCACGCTAGTAGCTCTCGGTTTTTAATTTATATTATAATATTATTTTAATGTATTTTACTTATTATATATATTAACTTATTTTATATATTATTAAAATATATTATTTTAATATATTTTAATATAATATNATATATATATGGAAAAGTAAGGGATCTTAATTTGACAATTATTGATATAATTTTTTCATAAATAACGATATATTACTTTAAGTTTTTTTTTTAAAATCCTTTTTAGCTGTCATTGTTTATGATTTCTCAATTATCAACAAAATTTGGATTTTGTTAATATTATTTATAGTTTTAGATTATTTTAATCCTTAATTTACTCTTATTAACCTTAATTTGTCTATTATTGACCTAAATTATCCAACTTAGAATTATTTTTTTAATTCTTCCTCGTATATTAACTTACAACTTCTAAGGTCTATCATTTTTGGACTCCGTTCTTTTACAATCACTCCAAAAATACATGTTTAATATGTATCCAATATATATTTATGATATACCTCATGTACACATACCTATGATAATAAAAGGGTAGTCTATTCGGATATTGGGACACTTTAAATATGAATCTTATTTTAGTCATTCAAATTACTACTAACATGTAACAACACTAATTTCCTAACTTAATTAATTCCATAAGAAGGGCTATGGTAAGTTTATGTACTCGTTTTATTTTCTTATATTTTCATGTATTCAAATTTAGCCCCTCTCCCTGTACAATCAGTAAAAATACCTGAAATTATTCTAAATCCTATAAATTATATGATTCATCAATTTCATAACAGTATTCGCAGAAAAGTGTTTTGTAATCACTGCCCTGAGTATTTTTGGAATCAACATAAGCATCATAGAAAGAACTCACCCTTTAAGGAGGCACGATTAATACTTAACCCTTTCAAGGATAACAGCAATCCCACATATTTTTGACAACATTGTAAACCACTAAAATTATGATAGTTTTTAACTCTTAAACAACACTGCTTTTAATCAACCACTTTTCACTTTTTAAAAGTTAAAGATAAAGCAGGATAGATCTACTAATGGACATGCATACGATGACCATGATTCTTAGGGTTTTTCCTGCCTTCATTAAAATATTTTGCGCTTCTAAGGATTAAAAATAAAAATTAATACCCGACTAATCATAAATTATTAGTGTAAATGTGTTAAAAGAACAAAAACCATTTTATTTGGTTACAAATAAAAGTACAAAAACCATTTAAAAATAAATAGGAGAAAAAAGTACCCGAAAAAAAACCTTTTTTTGCAAAAGGTTTCTTTTCGTTTTCATAAATTAATTAATTATATATATATATAACGTCGTTGCCGAGTGGAAGGATTAAAACAGGTCTTAGGCCGGGAAGGAGGGTACAAAATTTATTTATTAATTATTAGACAGAGCAGTCATGAGAAAGTGAACACGAAAAGTTGCGTTCCTTGGTTATATGTTAGGGAAAATCTTGTAAAGTAAAAACCGTAAAATCTCTTAATTTAGGGAAGGAGGGAAATCTTAGTAGTTGCTACTGGTTTATGAAATAGATCAAGCGTTTCCCACAGACAGCAAAGGGGAAAATGTCCTGCTTTTAATTAAATGCATACTTGAGCCAAAAATAGATTTAAGAACAGGATGTGACTTTTAAAAGTGTGAGAAAGTATTTCGGTTAGAATAATTAATTAGGATAGCATAAAAAGATTAACAGAAGCTTTTTATGTTACATATATATATATATATATCGTATATATATACAGGTGGTTATCAAAATCTCTTTATGAAGGTATCTCCTAACTGTAATTGTTGACACTGGAGAATCCAGATGCTGATTGAGCTCTGCGGCTCTTTAGCTGCAGTTGTTTTCTTTTTAGACATTACAATCCGCTTCAATACCAGTCGGTCTCTTTCACTCAGCTTCTCCTTCCGTCCACTATTTTGCTTTGCTGAGCTTGTCTTTCCGCGCTGTGTGTATGCTGTCATGA